AGAGAGAGGAGAGAGAGAGAGAAAGAGAGAAAGAACTATTTAACTTTTAAAATCAGGAATACCACATGATAAAAAAAAAAAAAAGTTCCATAGTGCCTCAGGCAATCCGTGTTGGATAGTTTTCAAAACTGAAAACAATTCTTTGATGTTGCTGAAAATGACAAGTAAACTTATAAACAATTGTGACAAAGAGCAGAGATTCTAGTGAATTGTGTAGTAAAGTTCAAATGAACTATTTGGATTAAGAAGAAAAGCACTTTCATTAATTTCTGTATGTTTTCTCATTTTAGAGCATGTTCAACCAATAGGAGCTTGTTCTAGAAGTGTTCTTAAATCGTTATATTTCTTTATTTGTTAAAATTTAGCACAATATGTATTAATGTTATGGGTACCATAAGCCTGGAAAACTATTTTCCCAATTTATGAACTACTAAGTATTGTAAGAAAAAGTTTTGTACTAAATCAGGGCACAAAGACTTTGAGCCTATAGCCTTTTTCCTTTAAAATATACAAATCATGCAGCAATTACATTATATCGCATATGTGAAGTATTTAGCACAATAATTGTTAAGTAGTAGGCTCAAACACTGGGAAATAGTAAATTTCCTTAATATAAGCTTCTGCTTTCCACTGATTCTTGTCTTTTATTATTCAAATCTCTTCCTGTCTTACTTTAAGGCACTCTAGTGTTATCTTCCTCAGGTAGTCTTTGAACAGTTGGGGTTGAAATAAGATTAAAGAGAAACATTTCTCAGCCTGGTAAATCAAAATTGCATCTTTTTTTGTCTAGCCAGTTCCAAATAAAATATCTCAACACTTAAATTGGATGCTTGTTTTAGGTTTGATAAAACTGATGGGTAGTAATTCTTGTGCGAGGTTTACAAGTGAAATATTAAATAAAAAATATAATACTGTCACCTTATAAGTACATTGATCCTCAATAAATAGACAAATAAATAAATAAGGATGTTAATTTTAACTAAATAAAACAGAATAACCATGGCTGCATTGTATATTGTCTTCTGAGGTTTTTTAATTACCCCAAAAAAGTACTTTTATTACTGAACTTTTGTTTTCTTTTTTTTTTCAGGAAACACCTTTGCATTCCTCTCAACTCCTTTTTTATCGATTCCCCTTTTCTCCAACTCTCTCCCCTTCCCCTCTTCCCTTCCTTCCTTCTCTGTACTAATTACAGGCAAACTGTTATGTTCTTTTTACTTTTAAGGCTGCACTTCTTGATTGTAATACATTTAGGGTACTCTATTGTTTTCCTCTTTTGCACTGGCCTCTGGAATCATTCACCAGAAGAGTCCCACCTGGTGAACAGTTATACAACTTGTGGTTAGATACCTTCCTCATAAAAATATTATAATATTACTAAATTTTTAAAAAGCATACATTGACATAAGAGTTGATGTTATTGACTAGAAAGTACTAACTGCAATTTTCCTTTGTAACTGTAGTCTCCTCTTTAGTATTTGGAATACTTGATTAGCAAAAATGAAATTTTTGTACATTTGATTAATTATGAAGAACATGTCCTGGGTTAGTTTTTAAACATCTACTTACTTACAGCTCAACAATTCCATTTTTGTTTTGTATCCAGTTCAAATGCCACAATTTCTTTAACTGTATTTTTGGCACGTTTCTCCAAATTATTTCCACCTCCTAAGTTTAAGATACCCCATGATTACAAATATTGATATTCTTGTTAGAAAGAAGGAATGGACGACTTTGTGAATAAATTACAGGGTAGAGTTCAAGGTCAGTGTTTCCATGTCTAGTTATATGATTTTTGAGAAGGGCAGTTAGCTTCTTTGAGCCACAGTTTCCTCATCTTTAAAACTGAAGTAGTACAATTGCATTATCAAGTACTCGGAATTGTCATGAGACTACAATGCCAAGATAAAACTGAAACTGACTTGTAAATTATAAAGTGCTTTGTAAACACAAATTGTTGGTATGATTGCCATTGTCGTTATAGTCATAGGCAATTAGTTCTCTGAATAATGAAAATACAAGTTTGAGCAAAGTCAATAATTCATATTGTATAATAAACTGAATTCCAATATATGAGAAGTATGTTTGAAAATCTGTGTTAAAGTAGTATATTTTCCAGTTTTTATAAATTATTTCTCTATTGAGTTTTGAAATGCTGTTATTATCTAAATATTAGTAAGGCAGTGTATCAATACTCATAATCATATTTTCTAATATTCCACATCGACTTCAATTATGAAATAAAATGGCAAATTATAACATAACCACCTATCTAAGAATCTAATATGAAGACAATAACTTTGTTATCATTTATTAAATAACATTGGAAATAGTAAATAGATTATACTTGACCACTTGAATGTTATGTAACTTAGTAAATATGTTTGCATTTATTTTATACATGCTTTTAAAAATGTCTTCTTAAAAAAAAAACAAAAACAAGTTAAACTGCTGGTGCAGATAATTAATAGAAGGCAGTATCCACATGGTTATTTTCAACAAACTTTATATATGAAATTTTTTTTAAAAAAGCAAAGCAGTTAAAAATATATGGCATCTTTTGAAAATCAATTGGAAAAACCTAATCAGATGTGAATCATCTCATCAGTGTTCATAATAAGACCCAATGGACCATAGAACAGTAAACTACATTTTAAATCGTATTTTGTAAAAAAAAAAAAAAAAAAAAAAAAAGTCTAAACTGGGATAGTTATTGCCAAATATCATTGTGTAAAAAATTATATTTGTAGCCAAATGCAGAGAGTTTCTGAATTCATTATTTTGGATTTTGAAATTTGGACTCAGCAAATTTGAAGTGAAGCCCAGAATCACTTCAAGAAATACTAATCTAAGGATGGTATTCTGCCTGTCCTTTATAATACAGGGAGAAAATAATATAGGAGGTTATTTATTAGATATATGTTTTATCCAGCATCATGCACAGTTATGAACACATAGATACAAAAAGATAACATCTGTACAAATATTAAATGCATATGATTTTCAAGTGTTTTCTCATCCCATCAGTAGTTTCTAACTTCAATATCTAAGCTTCATATTAGGATTAGTAATATCGCCAATATTGGGTAGACTGTTCCTCTTTGAGATCTTAAAATTATCTCAATGTCACTTTTGGGTCATTTGCTACACTACAAGATTCTATTAATAATAAGTGGTTCTTAAGCCAATATCCGTTTTTTCATCATTAATAACAAAATATTTGTTTTCCCATGTCCTAGGGGTCACCAGGAGAACGTGGATCTGCAGGTACGGCTGGCCCAATTGGTTTACCCGGGCGTCCAGGACCACAGGGTCCCCCTGGGCCCGCTGGAGAGAAAGGTGCTCCTGTAAGTAATGGCAAGGAGAAAATATATTATACTGCTGCCCTGCACAAGTTATTACTTTTTATTCAAGAATATTAGCTTTTCATACCCCACTGCATTCTCTCTGCATATGTGTCCAGCATAAAACACAGCTCCTTTTGTATTTATAATAGGGAAAATTTCAAATTCAATTAAATGAGATGACATTTTTTTCACACTTTATGAAACGCTAATACCTGTGAGGGAGTTGGATATTATTAATGCAAAAGGCTTCTCACTTTGCTTCTTTTAAAAAATAAAATTGGGGGTTTTGATTAAAACTATATTAGAAAAGTGTGAACTTTTCACATCTCTTGTAATACAAATTCAATTCCAAGCATTTTCATAGTCTGTAAATGAAACCCATAGAAAGTGACTGCCCTTCTCTTGTAATTTGAGCTTTGATCTCCAGTGAGTGAGATGAAAACAGCTGACTAATTATTTCATCTAATATTTAGTGGATTTTAAAATTTTATATTCAAATGACTATATACTCTATTCTATTTATTAGGTTTATGTTTTTTTGTTAAGATTTCTTCTTTTTGTTTCTGCTTTAGATTTGATCCTAGTAATTTTTAAAAATGTATCTTCTCATCCTATAAGATTAAAATACAAATTGATTCAGTAAATGTAGATAAAAAGTGTTGGAAAAATATAAGCTTAACATTTTTATACAGTGGTAATTCTTGACATATATAATTCAATTTAAGCTTGTAATTCAAAACACTTCCTTAGAACTAAGACTTCAGTTTTAGCAAGTTGATTTACTTTCATTGTCTGTGTGTCTTCTTGCCTTACTCCGTGATATTATTCCAGTGTTTCTTAGGACATATTGCACAGCTAAAGCAGAATACTACAGACAGGTAATTTACAATGAAATAGAACTTGATTGACTGAAGAATCTGAAGGATAGGAAGTCCATGGTTAAGGGACCACATCTGGTGAGGGGTCTTCTTGCTGTGTCATCTCACGGTGGAAGAGAAAAGAGAGAGGTAGAGAAAGAGAGTAAAAAAGGAAACAAACTCTCTTTTACAGTGGCACCCCACCACCAATAATGGCATTAATTCATCTGCTCCACCCTTGTGACCTTATCTCTCATTAAGTTACAGCTCCCGACACTGTTGCATTAAGGATTATGTTTCTAACACATGCTTTCTGGATGACGCATTCAAATCATAGAAATTTTTAACTTAAAATTTTTATTTCTGTAATCCATTACCTTTCAGAATCAGAATATTATAATGGGCCATGTCATCTGTGGATAGAATTATTGGGTGAAAGAGAAAGGACTTTTAATATGCTTAGAATTTTTCCTAAAGCGATATATTTTGTAATGTATTATATGCCCTGGGAGGATATAGAAGGAAAATAGCTTCAAGTCCTTTAATGCAAGTTCTTTTAAAAATCTACAAATGTACGTACCTTGGCACAGTACAATAAAAATGCACAGAAGAAAAGAGGTACACATTGCTTTTTATGTGGATTTAGAGCAGATAACTTGAGAAATCAAGAGTTCTGTGAAGATAATTTATTCAATGGTGAGTTTTAAAGTGGATAAATACCTCAGCTTTATGAAGAAGTAAACCATTGAAACAGAAATCAGAATATGGGAAAGCACTGAAAGTGATAATAAGAAATAAATTTGCTGAGACAGATGAAGAATTATTAACAGAAACCCTTGCAAGATCTAGAATTTGGACATCAGTTTTATTGGTGTTTAATGACATCATGACTAGGAAAGACAAAAGGGAATGCTCTGCTTACCCATCCTCTCTCAGTTATTCCTACCAACAGTAACAACCCCAGAAAGTTCATTCCATTTAAAAAAATTCAACAAATAGCTATTCAGAATAACTAAGTGGTAGACTCTGTAGACGCTGCATTCGATAGTACTACTGAAGGGGGTGTCTGCTTAGGGACAGTAGCATCAAGTGGTGATTAGAGTGTTGGGTGAAAGTCCATATCTCTGCAGAGGTCTAGTAAAAACTGATGAAAATGCTGGCCAAAATGTGAAACACAGCCTTTTACTTCTTTCTACTCCCAAATATAAATTTTGGTTCTTACCTTTTTTGAGCAGGTTGTGTTTTAAAACATGCCATTATTAGCACATTTAGATTTGCATGAAATGAAGAGGATGACAAGATGGAGTTGGTGGAATCCAAGCCCTCGGTCCACCCACCCACCAGCCCAGCTTCCTGGAAGGGAGAAAGCGGAAAACAGGAGACATGGATATCCACAAGACCTACTGTAGCAATAAATGTGGCCTCATTAGCATCTCCCAATTAATCAGTGTGACTAATTTGAGGTGGGACTGCCAAAACTCTTCCAACCTAATAGCGGTGAAAGAAATATTTTGATAGGCAGAATTCTTCTTGAAACGGTTGTATTGTAATGCAGAGATACTGTGTGCAAGGATTACTGATAGGAAGCCGTTTTAATTATGTCTCTATCTGGGGGACAGTTGTAGAAATGGAGGGAAAAAAACTGACTTCAAAACACAGAGAAGTCAAGGCATTAACCATAAGTGGTTTAGGCAATAGGAGTTTGAGATTGGAAGAAAAATATGTCCCACATCCTCATTTCCACTCTTAAGCATATGTGTATATAATTGCAGAGAGAATGGTCAGTACCAAGATTATAAATGTGGAAGTCATTTAAAATAGGAGTGATGTTTGGAACCATATTACCACATTACCATGCCATGCAAAGTTGAGAGAGGAGAACAGAAGTCTGGATTCATTCTTTATGGAGTATTATAATGGGTGTGAATTCCGAAAGGATCCAGTAGAGAAAAAGAGTAGAAGAGTGCATGAGTTATATATGTATAATTATTATAAATAATATACCAGCTGGGCTGGTAGGTAGGTGGACCGAGAACATGCCATCAAATAGGCCGAGAGAGAAGAGAGTCCTCTTCTGCTGAGGTTGTAAAGGATCAGGAATATTGAAAGTTAAAAGGCGCAACAAGAGAGGCTGGGATTTTACCTCCTGGGCATTTGTAACTTTAGGGTGATTATAATCGACCTAAAAAGAAAGTGGACTGTAAGGGATTGGAGTAGGTGCATGCAAATCACCTCAAACAAGCATGGAGACAAAAGATAAATGAAGAGTTGTTGGAAGAACAAGTCAGGCTAAATGCATTGCCTCTTACTATTACGATTGTGCTATGCACAGATTCATCTACCTTACTTATAATAAGAAAATAATCAATGAAAAGTGAGAAAGTTAAGAAAACCAGGGTAGACTAAGTCTCCTTGCTTGTAAACAGCCAGAATTGGACTGGGAGACAACTCTCTTTATCATTTATTTAGTTCATGAGTTTGTTTAGGCCATTTAACTCAGAATCTCTGTTTTTTCATCTCTGAAAGGAAGATAAACCATGTCTGAAAAGAAGGTAATGACAGTATTTTTTGTGAGAATTAGATAAAATGATCATTTCAAAGCACTTTGTAGAATTATGTTGTATACAGAATAATCATTATTACTATTATCATCAGAGTGTGAACCAGAGTTTTAATTTAAAAAAAAGAATGAGCCGGGCTCGGTGGCTCAGCCTGTAATCCTGCGCCTTTGGGAGGCTGAGGTGAGTGGATTGCCTGAGCCCGCAGGTTCGAGACGCGCCTAGGCAGCGAGACCTCGTTTCTACAATAAATAAAAAAATCAGCGGGCATGGTAGCGCATGCCTGTAATTCCGGCTACTCGGAAGGCTGAGGCGGAAGGATCGCCGGAGCCCAGCAGGTCGAGGCTGCGGTGACTGGGAGTGGCCACTGCACTCCAGTCTGGGTGACAGAGTGAGACTCCAACTCAAAAAAATAAATAAATAAATAAGAATGAACAAATATCTGAAAATAAATTCATAAATGAGATTTTGAGTAAGGAGGGCCAGATTTTGTAAATTGTAATAAATTTGAGCGTAAAAGTGCAGGTTAAATATAAGACCATGCCAAGTCAAAAAAAAAAAAAAAAAAGCATGGGAATATTGAATGAATTTTATCAATTTTTAAGGTATGATTCAGTTATTAATGTAAATGGAATGGAAGAAGTAATGAAATAAAGATTGACTACTTAAGGAAAGATGAATGCTTTCAGGAGCTGTATAGGTTTGGGGCCAAGAGATACATGATGTAGGAAACGTTATATAATCTTGGAGAATTATAAATGGTAAATTTAATTTTAAAGTGGTGTAGATCAGTTGCAAGATTTCTTCTGATTTCACATAGACCAGAGTCAGAATAAATAAGTGGCAGGTGGACTATAATTAAGGCAGATGAGAATGTGCCTGTCTTATTTACAGTTCCCTTATGTAAAAGTACTGACTTTTAGAGTTAAGGCTAGCAAGGAAATTCAAAGTTAGGAGACATATTTGAATCCGCTGTTGGGTTTAAAATACTGAAGTTCTCTGGAAACAGCACAGCACAGCCTGACAGGTTTGAAATATCATATTTAGACCCGCCTGGGCAGCGAGACCTCATCTCTACAATAAATCAAAAAATCAACCGGGCATGGTAGCGCATGCCTGTAATTCCGGCTACTTGGAAGGCTGAGGCGGAAGGATCGCGGGAGCCCAGCAGGTCGAGGCTGCGGTGGCCGGGAGCGGCCACTGCACTCCAGTCTGGGCAACAGAGTGAGACTCCAACTCAATAAAAAAGGAAATATCATATTTGATTGAAGGAAATAAGATATCTCCAGGGTGACATCAGGGATATGTTTTATTTGACCATTGTGACACATTTTTGGAAAACAAGACCACATGGAACCCAGGTAAGTAATAAATCAGAGTCAACAAGTCAAGTTTCTTTTATAGATATTTTGTTGCTTTTGCTGTCATTAATTAACTAACTCAACACATGTTCCTTAAGTGGCTACTTCGGGCCACAGGCCAAGGGTACATAATAGAATGCAAACACAGACACAATTTCTACCCTCACACGGTCCATTGTCTGATGGAGCCATTTGATAACAAGCAAGTGATCACTAAACACATGTGTTATATACTTACAAGTTTTGGTTATTGATGTGAAGGAAATGCTACTGGGATATCAGTTTATAGCAGAGGGACCTTAGCTAGAATTAGAGTCTTTCCTTGTACAAGACCTCGATGGTGAGATGTAAAAGATGAGACATCTCAACTATGCACAGGGTTCTCAAAGGAGCATCCCAGGCCATATGTCGGGGGTCGGGGATAGGGGGAAGAAAGGGCATGACATCAGATTTGAGGGACTGGAAAAAAGTCTAGGAGGGTTGGAATGCAGAAAGCAAGGGGTAGTGGAGGCTAGATCTGGTTGAACAAGTAGGAGAAGGATCATCGTATGCCACCCTAAGCTTGGCCTTTATCTTAGGAACAGGAAACAAGTAAATTGACCTAAGCATGTAGGCAATAGAATCTGATTGGCCCCTTCGATACAGCATGGAGTATAGAATGGAAGGAAGAAAGAGTAAATGTGGGGAAAGGAGGAGGTTATTTCAGTTGCTCAGATCAAGGTGAGTGGTATTTTGGAATAAGGTGTCAGTCACGGAGATAAATTCAAGTTAATATGTTCAAGAAATGATTAGGAGATAAAATAGAAAAGAAGCCATGGTCAAGGTCAGGAGATGGTGAGGCAAGTGGGGAGAAATGGGCAAATGGAAAGGCAGGACTTAATAACTTGTAGATTCCCAGACAAGAGAACAGATAGAATCGCTGAAGGCAATCAACCATGCTGTCTGCAGCAAAACTGATGAGATTTTGGGGAAATTATTTTAAACTCTGAAAGAATGTTTTAAGGGAAATAGAGATTGTATTCACTATCAAGTCACTTTCTTAAAAATTGCACAATATTAGTAAATTTAAATAAAGGAAAATAACGCCATTTTTGAAAATCAAACCAAACCATACAAAAACAGAGAAAAAGTGAACATCCTTGCCATATGGAAGCAGTAAAAACATCAGTGATTTAAAATATCAAAATCTAATCAGGTGTGGTGGCTCATGCCTGTAATTCCAGCACTTTGGTAGGCCAAGATTGGAGGACTGTTTGAGTTCAGGAGTTTACGATTAGTGTAGCCTACGTAGCAAAACCTCATCTCTCCAAAAATATTAGCCAACCATGGTGGTGCACGCCTGTAGTCTCAGCTACACAGGAGACTGAGACTGGAGGCTTGCCTGAGCCGAGGAGGTCAAGGCTGCAGCCAGCCATGACCATGCCACTGCACTCCAACCCAGGAGTCAGAATGGGAGCCCGACTCTAAATAAAAAATAGGAAAACCCACGAAACATTTGTTAAACATAGGAAAGTGTTACATGTGAAACATATGAAGCATACTGTAAAGTCAGACATATGAGCAAATGTGTTTTATGATTTTTTTTTTTTTAAGTTGGATTCTCACTCTGTTGCTCAGACTGGAGTGCAGTGACCACTCCCAGCCACTGCGGCCTCGACCTGCTGGGCTCCGACGATCCTTCCGCCTCAGCCTTTCGAGTAGCCGGAATTACAGGCACGCGCTACCACGTCCGGCTGATTTTTTTTGATTTATTGCAGAAATGAAGTGTCGCCAAGTTGCCCAGGCGTGTCTCGAACCCACGGGCTCAGGCAATCCACTCACCTCAGCCTCCCAAAGCGCAGGATTACAGGCTGAGCCACCGAGCCCGGCTGTTTTATGATTTTTTAAGGGCAAATAACCAGTGTGCTGCTAAGTCAGAGGCACTAATGAAGAAAATGAGAAGCTCAGCAAGTTTGTGCCAATATCAGGCATCCAGTTCATCAGTGTGTAATGCTTGTTAGAAAGAAACATTCTATGTCGACTTCTAATGATTTTTGTGGGCTGTAGCCTGAAATGCATAAATGATTTTAAAAATTACAGTGTTCTTAGTCATGAATGAATATAGAATTTTTTTTTTTTTCTGAGTTAGAGTCTCACTCTGTCGCCTAGGCTGCAGTGCAGCGGCATGCTCACAGCCACCACAGCCTAGACCTGCTGGACTCAAGTGATCCTTCCACCTCAGCCTTCTAAGTAGCTGGAACTACAGGCACATGTCACCATGCCTGGCTAATTTTTTGATTTATAGTAGAGACGAGATCTCACCATATTGTTCAAGCTGGTCTCGAACTCCTGAGCTCAGGCAATCCTCTGACCTCCACCTCCCAAAGTGCTGGGATTACAGGTGTGAGCCACCGTGCCTGGCTGAATGTAGGATCTTTTATCATGAAAAAGTTTTTTTCTTAGAAAGCTTAAACAATTTCCGTGTCGAATCTAGAAGGTGGACTATGGCTGTTGTGACTGGACTTCAAGATTTCAGCAAGCAGTTAATGCACAGGTTTCTTACGGCAAATTAATGATCTGTTGGATTTTCAATACAGGGAGAAAAAGGTCCCCAAGGTCCTGCAGGGAGAGATGGAGTACAAGGTCCCGTGGGTCTCCCAGGACCTGCTGGTCCTGCGGGCTCCCCTGGAGAAGATGGAGATAAGGTTGGTGTTCTTTATTCATGTGAGTTATCCTGAGAGAAAGTTTAACTTTTGTCAGGAATTCTGGAATTAATGTTTTAGAATAAGACGGCAGGTAAAAGGTTATCTCTTTCAAGTTTCACACAATTTCTGTGTCAACACTTAATATCTATTTCATAAAAGAACCTGTGAGATATAATCAGAAAAATCAGATGAAAGGACAGTGGTGGTAAGAAAAAAAAAATAGCAGATGCCAAAATTTGTTTGTTTTTTTAAAACATCCTTCTGAAATGAATATAAAAAATAAGTAATTACATGTTTGTGCTTAGCCTTCATGTATTGGATATCGCACAGTAAGGTTTAAGAATGAGCTAAATAGTTCCTTGATAATCCTGTTATCTTTTACTGGCAGAGAAATAAAGACTCTAAGCTCTTGATTAAAAATGTATGGCTGTGCTGTTATATGTGTAAATTTAGGATGTGCGTCCTTTTAGCATTTGAAAAACTAGGATAAAGAAAGTAGTTTTTGACTAATGTGTAATTATAATTTCTATAAGTCCATGAACTTCCATTGTCTGTTTATACTGGTGGTATTTTATACAAAACTGATTTCTTAATTATATATCAAGCCATAGTATTCCCTGAAGTGACTTTTGTGTGCTTATATTTTAGTCAATACTAGAAAGCTAGAAGCAGCAGGAACCCAGGATTTTACAATTTTAAAGAGTGGCATTAAACACTAGCATGTAATTATATTGAGGGCAAAATTTAACAATTTCCTGATAATAAAGGCAATGTGTTAGCAGTTATGGCATGTTAGAGATAAACTTTAACTCAAGTCTTTCAAATACAGGGTGAAATTGGTGAGCCGGGACAAAAAGGCAGCAAAGGTGACAAGGGAGAAAATGTGAGTTTTCTACATCTTTCTGTTGCCCGTGGATATTCTTTCACAGCACTGCTGAATTAACCTCTTTTCTCTGGCAAATGAAAGAGTAAGATAACCAGTCTCCTCTTTCACAGTATTCTGAGAAACAATAGATAGACACCAAAATTAATACTATGTACTACACATATACAGATGGACACATCTGTTTTTTAGACCATAAATATATATTTTGAAAGTTTTCTCTTAAATCTTAAAAGTAATGCTGGTTGGGTTTGTTTTAAAAATAATTTCGGTTTCTTGCTCAACTAGTGTGCTCACTTTTTTTTTAATGGAAATGCTTTATCTTTTCTTGACTTTATAATAGTAGTGTACATTCTTCAAAACAATTCCTATTTTATTGTATTTATTTTTCTCTTAAACATATTTTTTATTTTAAAATTGTGGGGTACAGTTAAGGGTTAGGTATACAAATATGTATCGTTCAGGTACCCTTGTTGATAAGGGGTGTCCCCTGTCCCCAGGCAGATATTGACTACCATTAATCCCACCTCCCCTCCCCTCCCTGCCCTCCCCCCATAGTTTCCTGCCACTGTCAATCCTTTTCTTACAGTATTACGATAGATGTTCAAGGTCCACTTCTGAGTGAGAACATGTGATACTCAGATCTTTGTTTCTCAGTATTATAAACTCTAGTTCCATCCAGGTTGCTGCGAAATTCATGATTTTGTTCTTTTTTTTTTTTTTTTTTTTTTTTTTTTTGCCTCTATGACTTTTCTCTTTGCTCTTTAATAGTTTGCATTCTTTCACAATTATGTTTACAGACTTTTCTTCTTCTTAGATTACAAACATTAGATGGTGATACTCTCATGTACCTCACCTCGGCACTTCCTTACCAATTTATACTTTCTAAAGAATATCTATGGATATCTTGTTCTTTAAGTTTTTTATTTCCATTTTTTTTTCTTTCTTTAAGTCTTCATATATTTGCTGTCCAACAGAAATTTAAATTGGGGGAGTAAAGACATATGTCCTCTCTTTACTCATTTTTTTTCACCTAGTGTAAAATTTCATGTATCATCTTTAACAATTTGATTCTAATAGACTACTCTAATTCTGTCCTATGACTCATTAATGTGATGATTTTAGGGTTAGAATGACCAAATATATTAGCACATAAATTAAAAAGAGGTCTTGTTAGAATTGATTTAATTCTAAGCTGAATAGCTTCCAAAGAATTATGACATGAATGCATCTAAGTAAAAAACCAAAACAAAACAAAACAAAAAACCAACAGAAATAGTTTGTAGATAATCGCAATATTGAATGCATAATAGACACTATTTATTTTTTTATGCAGTAGAACAAAACCTTAGCAGTTAAGTGATAATGCTGATACTCTGGATCTATGCTGTAAAATTAGGACAAGAAATTGTGTACAGAAAACCAGTTGCATATGTTGGGTGCAGTTGGTATTGACTTTTGAATTTGAATTTTACAAATTCTATTTTGGTATTTTTCTTAACTTGGTGACACTATAAAGAAATTCCTAATGCTGGGCAATTCATAAAGAGGGTTATTTGTCTCATGGTTCTGCAAGCTCTCCAAGAAGCATGGCGCTAGCATCTTCTCGGATTATGATGAATGCTTTTGTGTTGTGTGGAAACATGGTGGGGAAGGTCAAGGACATGGAGGCATGCACAGAGAACCAAGCCCTATAGGTGTCCTGGCTTAATAACAGCCTACTCTTACAGGGACTAATCCACCTTCCAAGAAGCAATCCAGTCTCTCCAAAGAAAGAACTCAAGTTCCATGGGAGCCATTCATGAGAAATCCACTCTCATGATTCAAATACCTCCAGTTAGACCCCACCTTCAACAGTGGTGATCAGATTTCAGCATGAGGTTTGGTGGAAATGAGCCATGTCCACATTATAGCATTAAATTACTTTCTTTCTTTCTTTCTTTTTTTTTGTGTTGGAGTCTCACTCTGTCACCCAGACTGGAGTGCAGTGGCCGCTCCTAGCCACCGCAGCCTCGACCTGCTGGGCTCCGGCAAGTAAATTACTTTCTTAGATTCCAGTTACATTTCTCCCTTTTCAAAAAATTATTTGTGCTGAGGCGGAAGGATCGCCGGAGCCCAGCAGGTCGAGGCTGCCGTGGCCGGGAGCGGCCACTGCACTCCAGTCTGGGTGACAGTGAGACTCCAACTCAAAAAAAAAAAAAAATTAAAAAATTATATGTGTGTGCGGTACAAGTCAGGATTAGTTACACAAGTACGCTTTGTGCAGGTGAAGTGTGGACCTCTTACTGGCCCTCACTTCCCGTGGTTTAGGACCCAATACCCTTTGTGATGCTATATGCTCTCTCCCTTTCTCATTCCCCTGACAGTGTCCATTGACTGCCCATCTCTCCCTTGCGATAATGTGATTAATGTTCAGGTCCCACGTATGAGTGAGAAAATCCAGTATTTAGTACTTTGTTTTGTGAAATATCACTAAGTATGATATTCTTCATCTCCACCCAATTTCCTGCAAATTCCATAATTTTATTCTTCCTTATGGCTGCCTAATACTTAATTGTGTATATGTACCACATTTTCTTTATCCAATCCACAAGTTAATGATAAGAAAATACTATTGGTTGAACTGGAATACCTTATACACTCAACAGAAATCATATTTGTTTTTTTGTTTTGTTTTGGTTTTGGTTTGAGTCGAGGTCTCATTCTATAGCCCAGGCTGGAGTGCATTGGCATGATCATGGGTCACTGCAACCCCAAACTTCTGGACTCAAGCGATCCTTCTGCCTCAGCCTCCTGAGTAGCTGAGACTATATGCACATTCTTGGCTAATTCTGTTTATTTTTTGGTACAGATCTCAATTTTGTAGGGGTTTTGCTATGTTGCCTAGGCTAGTCTCAAATTCCTGGGCTCAAGCAATCCTCCCACCTTAGCTTCCCAAAGTGTTGAGATTATAGGTGTGAGATACCATATCCGGCCAGAAGTCATATTTAAATAAGTTTCATCTTCTCCTTAAAAATACACTTGACTATGACTGCGTGACCATTGTTTAAACCAACAATTTTCACTCTTGCATACTCCTAAAATTTTTTTTGAGGAGCTCTTTAAAAAGCTTTTGTCTTCAAGAATTACTATAATATTCATTAAAACTGAGATTTAAAAATATTTATGTGTTTACTCGTTTAAAATTAAGAAAAATAAGTCCAAAGCACTTTAAATGAAAAATAGCTATAGTTTTCTCAAATAAGTATATATAGTGCACAAAGTAGCATTCTTATATTTGTTGTATCTAACTTAATAGAGAAAGCTGGCTGGGTGCAGTGGCTCATGCCTATAATCCCAGCACTTTGTGAGGCTGAGGTGAGAAGATTGCCTGAGCCTATGGGTTCAAGTCCCGCCTGGGCAACTTGGCAAGACCTCATCTCTACAATAAATCAAAAAAGAAAAGTAGCTGGGTGTGGTGGCACATGCCTATGGTTCCAGCTATTTGGAAGCCTGAGGTGGAAGGATAGACTGACAAAACAAAAAACAAAATAGAGAAAGCTGTGCTCCCATATCTAGTTCAATCTGTAGTGACATGTTTTGGTTGAAAGAATAAAGAAAATTCAGATTCACACAAATATGTTGTTTAAAAAGAGAGAAGTATTTTTAATACCTTTTCAGATAATTTTGAGTATTCGTTGACTTCACATCAAAATTTTGTGTTAGTTTTTCTTTAAGATAGTTGCAGTGTGGAATGAGAAACCATAGCAGTGAGCTCCTTGGTTATTACATTAAATTCCGCTGCCCTGTCTTACACTTGGAATGACTTTTATTTTACTTTATTTTATTATAAAAATGTGGGGTACAAGTCAGGATTAAGTACATAAATAATCTATGGACAGGTAAAGTTTGGGCCTCCAACTGATTCTCACTTTCCCTGGTTTAGGATCTGGTGGTATTCCTTGTGTTGTTACATGCCCCACCTCTCCTGACAGTGTCCTGTGACTGCCAACCCCTCCCTTGTGCTGTTGTGATTCATGTTCAGGTCCCAAGTATGAGTGAGAGCATGTGGTATTTGGTTCTTTGTTTAGTTCAGCCTTTGTAAAAAATAATGTGAACTAGAAATTGACCCTCCATACGATCCAGCAATCCCCTTTCCGGCAATATACCTGGAAAAACACAAATCATTCAACAAAAAAGACACCTGCACACACATATCTATTGTTGTATTATTCACAATAGCAAAAACATGGAACCAACCCTTCTACCCATCCAATGTAGACGGGATAAGGAAAATGTGGTACGTATACATGATAAATGACTTTAACATAATTTTGTAATATCTCTCATTGGTCATTTGGAAATTATTGGTTGACTGGGTAAGGTCTTCAAAATTGTTGACATATTTCTTATAAAATATTAATATCATAAGAAAATACTTTCAGATTGAGAAGCTGTGAATTCCATAATGGCAGGTGGGAGATTTCCAAAATTCTGATTTTGCTTGAAAATTTAAATGTTATCATTGGCAGTTAATGCTGTGTTTTGTTTTCTTTGAAGTTGCAATCTTCCTTTATTTTGAACAACTGGCAATTCTCAAGTGTATGTAGTCATAATTTTTCTGTCAGTTGCTCTTTCAAGTAACATTGGCACTCCATGTAAAATTTGGCATTTCATGTAAAATTTGAGCTTTCAACTCAGCCGTATTCCTCAGCTGTATCTTTTTTAGAGACATGCGCTGTGATTCAGTATGATGCAAAAGTACTTCATGGATGTTTTCCATTTTGTCACATGAACATCAAAAGTCATGAACTCAAGGTCAATGTTTAATTTAAAAAATATAACTTTTAGTGCTTCATCGAAGACTTTTTTTTTGAGTTGGGATCTCACACTGTCCCCAGACTGGATTGCAGGTGTACAATCACAGTTCACCACAGCTTTGACCTCCTGGGCTCAGGTGATCCCGTAGCTGGGATTATAAGCACACCCCACCTCACCCAGAAAATTTTTTAAAATTTCTTTTGTGGAGAAGAGGTCTTGCTATGTTGCCCAGGCTGGTCTAAAACTTCTGAGCTCAAGTAATCTTCCTGCCTCAGCCTCCCAGGGTGCTGGGATTATAGGCATGAGCCCACAGCTGACCTCCTCAAAGATATTCTTAAGTGAAATAGCCATTTTTGTGTTTACATTGTGATGACAATATCTTTAATGCTTTTATGAATGGTAGCTACTGACATATTGATGCTAAGCCACAGGCAATTTTATTCAGTGTCATATTTGCATCTAGTGCATATGCCCACATGGCATAAAAGACAAATAAAGTCTTATTGTTGTGATAAGAATTATGAGCTTCCAGAAACCCGAAAAAGTTTCAAGACCCTCCAGTGGCCTGTGAAACAGTTCTTCACAACCTGGCTTTAAGCAGTCTTCCTCACAAGTGGTAGTTTCGATAAAGAACACTCTAATCCAATGACTCTTAAATTTATTTAGTGCTTGAATCTTTTATAGTATATGACCAGTTATTCATGTAAGAAAATAAGACAGTTAAGAAATATCTATACATATAATGTCTTTTGCAATCTATTGCTCAAAATAAGAGGTTCTGGTATACTTAACATATAACATTGAGTTTGCATGTGTATACATATGTGAAAATTCTGTATCTTCATATATCACTGCATTTTATCTGCATAGAATCTTCAGAGCCTAGAGAATTTTTCCCACTCATATATATCTCATTAAAGAAACTTGATATTTTGAAAATTTTCATATGTGAATCTTCCAAGTTGATTTATGCTAGCATAGAAACCTGTTTTAAAATATCCAAAACATTACAGATGACAGTGCTTTCAATAAATGTCCATTTAAAATGAATTTCAAGTATGAAAGTCTGAGTCTTGTGGAGTAAATAGACAATGGTCGACTACACTAAAATGCAAAAGACTTCTCTGGGATGCGTCATTTTTTTCCGAAGGCATGTAGAGGTGTTTAATAGACCTTCGTCAGCCAAATGTTCTGCTTTATGTAGCCAAGACTTTTCTGGCTTTAGTTTTGAGCTCACTGATTTTTCTCTCACTTCAGGGTCCTCCTGGTCCCCCGGGTCTTCAAGGACCAGTTGGCGCTCCTGGAATTGCTGTAAGTATTCCACTTTATTAGCAAATCTAAATCTTTAAAATTCCCTGATTAAATGTATTAACGGTCCCATCACCAGTTTTGTAGGGTAATAAGTTTGTTTGTGTACTTGACATTGAATCAAATTTAAATGATCTAATAGAGCATGCCAAGCTGATTCTTGTAAACAAAACACACTGTGACTACATTTGAAAATAGGCAATCACCCGTTGAGATGTACTTAATATTTCATAAATTCTGAATATCATTTTCCCCTATTAGACAACTTTTTCTTCACTTGGTGTACATGATCAAGCTGAAATCATGCTCCAGAAATAAAGCAAGTAAACACAACAAGCAAGGATATGTTTGCAGCAGATAATGGGAATTTAATCTACTTTTGACTTAGTTATTCTCAAATAGACCTGCTTTGATGAAATTTGACAAGGCCACACTTTTATAATGACCCATGTCATAATGATTTCTCAAATTTGTGATCAATATTCTTGTACTTCCTCAGGGAGGTGATGGTGAACCAGGTCCCAGAGGACAGCAGGGGATGTTTGGACAGAAAGGGGACGAGGGTGCCAGAGGTTTTCCTGGGCCTCCTGGTCCCATCGGTCTTCAGGTAAGGTGCTCTCGACCTTGTTGTTCACTTCTACCTACTTCTCACAAGAGGTTTTCTGGTGGATGTCAAAAAAAGTACACGTTTTTCTTTCTTTCTTTTTTTTTTTGAATTGGAGTCTCATTCTGATGCCCAGGCTGGAGTGCAGAGACAGGCTCTCAGCCACCACAGCCTTGACCTGCTGGGCTCTGACAATCTTTCCGCCTCAGCCTTCCAAGTAGCTGGAACTACAGGCACGTATCATCATGCCCAGTTAACTTTTTGATTTGTTGTAAAGACAAGGTCTCACCTAGTTGCTGAGGCTGGTCTCGAACCTCTGGCCTCAGGCAATCCTTTCCCTTCTGCCTCCCAACTTGCTGGTGTTACAGGAGTGAGCCACTGCACCCCACCTCATTTTTCCTTTATTCTATATGAGAACTTCGGTAAAATGTTTAGCAATACTTAATGTTTTATTCAAACATATGTCTGAATTTCACATTCTTTTTTTTTTTTTATCAAGTATGCTTGATTTTTCTGAAGACGTGTCAGCCCTTCTCCCTCTTTCTGGAGTATATTTAGCCTCATGTGAGCCATGACACTTCCTTTCATCACTCCCATCTTGTTTAAAGAATGATCTACAACTTTAGTTAAGTCTGATACTTAAAAGCAAGGTTTTAGAAGGTTCTTTCATAACCAGAAAAATTAGTACTTCGGATGGCTAATGTAAATTAAAAGTATTTCAAGATACAGTATTCTGCTAATAGCAACTGCCAACAGCGAACATTAAACAATGATAGATAGAATAAACAAATGAACAGTTAATTGATTATTTACAGTAGCTTCTTGGGCTAAGTGTGGTGGCTGACACCTGTAATTCCATCACTATGGGAGAACGAGGCAGGAGGATCACTTGAGGCCAGAACTTTCACACCAGCCTGGGCAACATAACGAGACCTCATCTCTGCAAATATAATAATAATTAAAAAAATAGCTAATGTGGTGGCATTCACCTGTAGTAGCTTCTTAGGAGGCTGAAGCAGGAGGATCGCTTGAACCCTGGAATTCAAAGCTGCAGTGAGCCATGACTGTGCCACTGCACTCTAGCCTGGGTGACAGAGAGAGACTCCAACTCTAAAAATAAAAATAAATGAAAATAGCTTATTATTTTAAAACTATTTTGATTTTTATGAGACATTCTGGATATAAAAGATTGATATGTAAAACACTATAGGCTGAGAGATTTCTGTTCAAATATGTCTCACAACTGGGCTTTAGACAAAACATTGCAGAGCAAATATCTCCTGTCCTGGGTGTTTTCTTGACTTCCCACAAATTTTGGAAGCATCTGACTTTCTTTCTCCCTTTGCTGGTTCTATACCTATCAGTTTTAAAAGTTCTTGAGCCCATCTGGGTGCAACTTAACCCATTTTAGCAGTTTTAGACACTGTCAATCATGTCATTCATTTTACTGAACCAAAAAATTTGTGAAGTTATAGAAAAATATATAAGTTGAATTTATATGAACTTAATTTATATCTTTATTTTTTATGAATAAAATCATAAAAATATTGTTTTTTAATGTTACTTATTATATGCCTAATTGTAATAATTGCATTATAAATCCAATATAATTAATTATGATATAATTATTGTTAAAACACTCCCGAGATGTTTACCAGTGAGCATGGTATTATAAGTGTCTGCTTTTATTTTAAGGCCAAAATAATCTTTTTAAACTTGGGAAGTGCAAAAATTTCATTCTCACATCTGACACCTGACACAGCATTTTGGGGAAACTGGGCAAGGGATTGCTTGCAGCAAGGAGTTTTACACCAACCTGGGGAACATAGCAAGACCTTATCTCTGCAAAAAATAAAAATAGAAAAAAAATTGGTCGAGTGTGGTGTCATGCACCCATAGTACTAGCTACCTGGGAGGCTGAGGCAGGAGGATCACTTGAGCCCAAGAGTTCAAGGCTGCAGTGAGCCATGTTTGCACCACTGCACTGCAGCCTGGGTGACAGAGTGAGATTCGAACTCTAAAAATAAAAATAAATGAAGAAAATAGCTTATTATATTAAAACTATTTTGATTTTTATGAAACATATTCTGGAAATAAAATATTAAATTATAAAACACCATAGGCTGAGAGATTTCTATTCAAATATGTCTCACAACTGGGCTCTTAGATAAAACGTTGCATTGCTATGTTTAACTCAGTTATACTTGTTAGACAATTATAAATAAGCAGTCATAAGTACCCCATACCCATATGTGTGAGAAGCACACATTTTTAAAAATAATGACAAGACATTACAATTAGATTGCCAATGTATACATTACTATTCATTTTCTGGATTTTCATGTAACTAATTGCTATAAATCTTTTAAGGATGTAATTTAGAAAATTCATCTTGTGATTAAAGAAGGTGTCTTATAGCTTATATTTATAAACTATTCAATAAAAAATCATCTTCATTTCCACAAAGTAAGAAATGTTCTCTTTGATGAGGGTGACTCAAGAAATCAGTTCATTAAAAAAAAATTGATTATATTTTCCTACAGCTACCTCTTTAAATCAGGAAACTGAAAAGATGCTAATGTAATTAACATGTTCACAATTGCACTGCATCCTATAATTGAGTCTTCATGGCAGAATAGATATTAGCAATTATAGTGTACACAAAAATAATCATCCAATATTCGGGTTAAATAACTTGATTTTTCAACTTGATATTTACTCTTTGTCTGCATATAAAGGATGGGTATACACACACACACACACACACACACACACACACACACACACACATAAATTCACAACCATAGTTCCTGGCCTAAACACATTTTTTGATGCAACATTTCAGTAGAAAATGATTTTAAAATAGCAGATCTTAAAACAAAATCTCTCCTTGCCTAAATTACCTACTCAGAGAAAGTTAGGACATATGAAAATGAATTAACCCCTGAATGCCATTCAGCATGTTTAGTTCCCTGCAACAAGAGAATCTGACTCTTTATGTCTCTTTTAGCTTTAATAATAACATTCTGTCTTGATCATCTCAAGTTATGATTAAATTTATTTTAAAAGGAAATAAATATTTCAATTTTTCCTATTGGGAGATTCCTATTGAACTAATAAGAATAATTATATGCATAAAAAAGGTGACGATGCAGAACTGAACTTGTAGTAGAAATAAAACTGTGAACTAATATTGACGTACCGTTCAATTTAGGGATATTTAATCAGTTGCACTCTATACTAAAACGATGTGAAATTCTGAACAAAAGATAAATAATGCGATTGTTAATTTACATGGTGTTTACAAGAACTTAATTATGTTTACATTGCAGTGCATATTATTTAAGGCAGTGGTCTTAAAGTGAAATATTTATTTCATCTGTGTTAAAATCTACTTACATATTTAAGAATTTAAGTTCCTGTGTTCCATCAATGAGTTAGAATCTTTGAAGTTGATAGTCTTGGAATCTAAATGTTAACAATCTTTTCCAAGTAATTTTTAGATAGACTAAAATCTGGGAAACACTGCCTGTCCATTTCTTACTAGAACATTTACTTATGATTCTAGAAACCACCATCAGATGGTAACTGTTTGAAAAGTGCATATAGCTAAGGGTACTTACACGGTGAATATTTGTATACTTAGCCCTGAATTGTACCCTACAGTTTTAAAATAAAAATTAAAAGAGGAAAAAAAAAAGAAAGAAAAGGGCATATAGCAATTGCTTTTCTTAGGCATTTTACTGACATTTGGGGAAAAATATTGGTATACATTGTTCATTATAAGTTAGTAATTAAGATTTTCTTATAAAAATAAATAGATATCACATTTTTAAAAGTTTTCAAATATATTCAACAAATAACTCTCTTTCCAAACTGAGAGCAGGTAGATTTAGTGGGTTATAAAAAAAGTTTGGTGGGTTATTACCAGCATTAGCTGAAAGAAATAGACAAGAATAAGGTAAAATAGAATAAAATATCAAAGGATATCATCTATGCAAAGGGGTAAGTTTTACTTTTTGAAACTTACATTTCAACTACTTTGTATGTGCATGGTTGGGGGTAATAAGTAAAATGTATTTTTTACAGTGGATCATGGTCAAATAATATTCAGCAGTCGTGGTGCAGTGCTTAGGAATCAATAATTTCTCTAGAGAGTACTCTCAGTTATTTAAAGGTTTTTCATTGTATGTATCTTTCATTTTCTAAATACATTACATCTAAAATACTGTTGTACAAATATTAAAACTAAACTCTGATAGAGTGTATATGTGTATTTTAAACTATAGGATGGAGTATATAAGTGTAATTCTATTGTTTTTTCTCCTTAGAATTCATTCATTTAACAAATGTTTTTGGGGGTTTCAAATTTTTGTTTGGCCCTCTGCTGGTTTCTAGAGATTTAAAAATAAAAAAAATCAACACCTAAAAACCACTGCCCCAGAATAACTTAGCTCCTAATTTTAACATATAAAATGGCATAAGCATGTTTATAAGTATATAATGCAAGTATGTACATAGTATTGCTATGACATGAAAAAGGAAACATAAAGAATTCTGCATGGAAAAATCAGTTTAGAAGAGCAAATAAGTAATAAAAAAGAAGTAAAATAATTTTTTTTTTATAAAGACATAGCTAGGTGAAATTTGAGTGCAACTTCTCTGAGTTTATACTGTAACACAGAACCTCTCCTAAATAGTCATTACAGTGTGACTGAATCCAATAGAAACAGATTTGTAAAATTCACTAATGGAATTAACAGATCAAAAATTTTGAATATGTTTATAATTCTGGAAATGTATTGAAATATGTATTTTCAAATGAGTTTTACTAAACTGGTACCTAACTATAATAACCCAGATAGGCTATTCTAAAGCAATTTGGACCAAGAATTTTTAGACATATTTACCATGGTAGTCCTATGTACCATTTGTAAAGGATAGGGCAAATGGTTAAGTGTTCGTAAATTCCCAGATCAAATTAAGTATTTATTTATTTATTGTAGCTAAACACAAACAGTATAACATTATAAAAAGCATGAATTGTATTTGTAAGTGTAAGATTTTATTATGTGGGATCAAGATTTATATTACAGATATTTTGACAAATATTAGTTTCTGATCTTAATTTCCACGTGCTTATGTAAGTTTATATTTAAATTTTAGTTTTATATTAGAAATTGATCAACCATATTTTTTTTTTAGATACATGAGTGACTTGTATTTTTTTCTTTATTATGTTTTGCTAGGGTCTGCCAGGCCCACCTGGTGAAAAAGGTGAAAACGGGGATGTTGGTCCCATGGTAAGTTTTTATGTTTGAGTGTTTGATGGGTATCGTGCCAGTGTATCCCAATGACATTTTGTATGTTGACATGTCCCTTTTTCCCAACCAACCTCTATCTTCAACCGTTGGATATTAAAATTCATTCTCTTGAATAGTTTTCTTTTTTCTTTCTCACTTTGGAATAATGTTATATACATCTGTGGTATTCAGTGGATTGTAAGTTCTTAGATATTTTTCATGTCTATGTATATGTATTATTGAGATACAGGTAGCCAACTGCCACACTTTAGTTATTTTCTAGTGTTTAGCTCTGGACTTTTATATGGAGTAGGTATGGCATAGATGATGTTCACATAGGATTTGTGTAATTAGCAAATATTAATACAGAATCAAAAAATAATTGTTGTACTCTGAAACAAATTCTTGATTTAATAAGGAATTCTGTCTTGATTGGAATGCTATGATTTATAATTTTTGCATTGATTGATTCTGGCTTTACTCTAAGACCTGAACCAAAACTTTGAAATACATTATGAAGCACTACCTTAGATATGATAATAATTAGCTAAAATAATTGAAATTCATAATAAAATGTGATCAATGTATGTCTTAATTGCTCTTTTTCTTCAACATTGCCCCAATTTTCACTTACTTCTGAATACATATTTAAAAATTTTAACACTTGTATGTTGTATTTTATTCTCCATAAGGACCATGCCAGATCTATTTTATTATCTGAAATAATTATTATCATCATTAATCAACCTAAATATAATAAATGCATAATAAGTGTTGCTGATGCAAATAACTGATTAACACTTCCAAGTTTTGTCAGATACAGGTCAAGATCCTTTTGAGATATGGTTGCTATAGTTTTCTGAATCACTGATACATTCTCCCTGATCTAATGGTAGTTGGTAATACTAGGGAAGCTTTACAGCCATGGCGTTAGGATAAAATGAGACCTCTAAAAAATACTAATGTCCAAATATTCACTTCAGACTATTTTGATTGCAAGCTTGAAGCAGAGGTTTTTGACAATGAGTACCTCCAATTAATTTAATATGCCACCAGGCAAGAGAATTGTTGTTTTATAAAACAATAGTTATTCTTATTTTCAGTTCTAGAAAACTAAAAATATTTATAAACAATAAAACAAAAATACTTTTATTGAGTTAATGAATCCTACATCTACTGAGGCACCATATCTTGTTCTAGCATTTTCTCTTTCCTAGCATATTATGACATAAATATTTCTAGTTGTATTATGAATACATTGTACCAGACAGTAGCAATAGATATTCTTGTTCCATTTTCTAAACAAATTGCTTTTCTTGAAGTCCTGATCTCCACATAGCTATGTGTAGAGGATCGCTTGCTAAAATGATGTTGTGTCCATCAGGAATGATTTATAACTTGCTATGCTACACTGACTATGGTTTTACAGGCTTAAACGTCCTTTATTTTTCCTAATTACAAAATTAAAATGCTAGAAATGCATTTGAATGTGCATTCTCATAACCTTAATCTTCATCTGTTACAGGGTCCACCTGGTCCTCCAGGCCCAAGGGGCCCACAAGGTCCCAATGGAGCTGATGTAAGAACTGTGAAAACTATGTTAATTATTTGGAGTTGTGTAGATGTCAGTAATATTTCATGGCAGATGCTTTCTGAGATACAGTGGAGATAATCACACTATTAATGAATATTAGAAGTGAATAAGAAGTCAAGGAGGATCTATCTACTCACCCCACTTTATTAGACAGGGAAAGAAATGGACTTTATAGGGAAAAGTCACCCCAAATATAAAAGGAATACACAGTTTATATTCAATATATATTTATTGATGAGTGAGAAATATTCATGGTATTATATGTATTACAATAAAACTATGTTGTTCAAACCAGCATCCTTAGACTGTGCCTTGTATATGATAACTTTTCAATAAATACTTATTGAATTGTTTTAAAGTTTAACCTTTATCTATGACAATAGCATGAGGAGGTGGTTTGTAACTGGCCTTCACTGTACTAACCTAGGTCCTTACTCCAAATATCCTTTTATGCATTCGTGATCAGTGGCTTTTATCTAAAATTGTTGCCTTTTGTGCATAATAATTGCACTTATTATATAAAATCTCTTCTCACAATTGTATAAAGAGAATCTTGTTCAAGGTTAACAATTGTTCTGATAGCTTAGGACTGTGAAATGTAATGGCATATTTATTTTCTTGTTACCATTAGTGGATTTATGGCTTTGAGTATCTCACTCCTTGTGACTTTACCTTTTCACAGTGAAGAAGTATATGCTGTCCTCATTCCTGTAACTTTTCTTGTCTCTATTGCTCTTCTTTATGCCTGCTTTTAATTCTAGCAGGTCGGAGCTGAGTAAAATAGACTAGAAACAGAAGAACTAGAAGAGCTTTTAGATTTTAATTACCTGTAAATGATTGAAAGGAGAAAAGATGGTTTATAAGGGGATTGTGTTTTACATGGGTTATATCATTCTTAACCAGAGTCATCATTTTGATCCACTATGAAATTATCCTGTAAAAATGACCTGAGTATTCTATGGGCAGAGAAATTGAAATCATGTCCCTGGTATTAACTGGCATGACCAGAGCTGAAAAATCTGCTTTATCTTCAAAATCCTAGTAATTTTGAGAAGTCAATGTACTATATTAAATTTTTTGCTATCCAGTAAATTTAATAACTCAACAAAAAGCCATAATTTTGTCCCATTCTTCAAGTGACTCAGATACTCTTGCATATATCTCTCTCTCTTTGACAACAACTAAATATATGTTTATGAACTTCTTATCTCATTATAAGAACATGGATAACCGTATTACTTGTTTTACCTTGCAGGGACCCCAAGGACCCCCAGGATCTGTTGGTTCTGTTGGTGGTGTAGGAGAAAAGGTAAAGATTGTAGTGAATTAAGTAAGGATGTTAATACTATGGGGTAATTTTTTAAGAGTTTCTAACATTACTGTATTTCTAAGCATTTTGCATATATGACTCACATGTCATCTGCTCTAGTCGAAAAAATTACAGTTAAAATGATTTTGAAATATTAAATTTTTGATTGGCAGTTATCATACTTAATGGTGTTCATGTATTATTTCCTTTGGTCAAGGCAACAACCTCATGAGGTTGGCATTATTATTATTATTATCCACATTTGTGAGCTGGGATGCCTAAAGCTTAGAGAACTTCTATAGCTTCATCAAGATTTTTCTCCTTAGAAAGTGGCTAAGTCAGGATCCACTACAATCCATGAATGACTAGTAATACTCAGTATTGAAAATAGAAGGGATTAGTTGATGGAACTGACTTAAAGGGGAAAAAAATCCTTCAAATCACAAAAGAATTAATCATTCATTTTGTCATATTTGAGTTATATTTTTATTAATCATACTCTAACCTGTCTCTGGCACTTTTCAAAATAGTTGGCATGTGCCATAATATATAAGCTCAAAATAACTTTCTTTTCTTGTGCACACGATTTCCTTTCAAAAATCTGCTCTTCCTTTTATGAAAACGACAAAATGCTTCATTGATTTCTTATTTATGATTCATGCTCGATTTTTAATACAATTTTCAAGGAAATTGTCATTGATATTTGCTTGATTGAAAAAATAAATTTATGAGTTTTGATGAAAAAGATAATTAAATTTTATACCATAATACATTATACAATGAAAACAATGGGAAAATTTCCCTAATTTGCTACCTATTGGAAGATATTGGTGATGTAGACTTATCCTAATCTTAATGATTCTGTTTGTGGATCCAAAATCTTTTTGACATATTTTATCTTCCACTTAAAGTCATTTATGTTAGGTAAAATATTTAACTGTCAGCAAAATAGATGTAATAAGTTTAGAATATGTTATTTTAATGTCTACTTATGAACACTCAGATTCTGGTTTTTCGGTTATAATCAATTCTATGTGATTACTCTTCAAACCAGTTCTTAATAAACTCTTCAAAATAGTTTATTGATTACTGACTTAGAGGATTTTTAAGTTATCGTCTAATTCTTATTATATATACAGTCTCTATTCTTTGATTGACTATCTCTTTTTTTATATATTCTTAAATTTTAAGGTTTGTGTTGAAACTCTTTGGGTGGCTGAGGATGGAATTGAACAAAACATTTTCATTGAGTTCAGTTGTCCTGGGAAGAATAACACAAGACAGCCCTGGTCACAGGATATCACTGTATTTAGGCAAATAATATCAACCTTACACCTTTTTCTTTCCTCTTTCCATCATCTCCTTTGACTCTAATGATGATAGCTGCAGGAATTAGTCTCCGGGTTTTTTTCCTAGCCTTTTTAGCTCATCTTACTTGTTTACTAGTTTGTGGATACAGAGGAAACCATTTTGAGTACTTCACTGTTACCCTTGAAGATAGAAGTAGATGCCAGATGTTTGGCATTCTGAAAATTTTTTTTTCCACATAATTTCCCATTAGTTTAAAGCCTATGTAGTAAGTCTTTGTCGACATTGACTCTTATCAGAATGATTAGGTCAATCTGGCTGGTGATTTAACTACTGCATTAAAAATGTACTTGATTTAAAATGTATTACATGAAAAAACACACAGTTTGAATTTTGCATTTTTTTGTGAAAAATGTTTTATGTGATGGAGAGCAGGATAGAAGTAAAACTCGAATCTTCATTCTTCCATTTGAGTCTAATGTAATATAATTTGCTGTACATTGCAGATTACATGATTTCCTTTGAAAAATCTGCTTTCCTTTTATGAAGATGTCAAAATCATTCATTGATTTCTTATTTATGATTCATGCTCAATTTTTAATATAATTTTCAAGAAAATCATCATTGATATTTGCTTGATTCTGGCTAAATGCATCTCCATTTCTATATTGGAAAATTTACTCCCAGTCACTAACAATGAAGGAAAAAAAGCCAGTTCTTTGTGTATACATGGGAGAACCCCCAAAATCCTGGAAATTATTTATTTAAAAATTGTGTATTTATTCTTACATGTTTAAACAGTCAACCTTCAAAGTACTCTCCATTTGATGCAATATGCCTACAGAGATGCTTTTTACAGTGCTCAAAACAGTTTTTGAACTTGTCAATTTTGATGCCTTTTAATGCTTCTGTCATTTTTTGTTTCACCTTTTCCACACAGCAAAACATTTCCCTTTGAGCACTTTTTTTATCTGGAGAAACAAACAAAAAAGTCACTCAGGGCGAGATTGGGTAAATAGGGAGAATGGGGAACAGGTGTCATGCCGTTTTTTGGTCCAAACTGCTGAACACTCAGTGTGGTGTGGGCAGGCTATTTGTGGAAATCACTCATCATTAAATGAACAAATGTGTTGAAAGAATCTCAAAAAAAAAAAAAAAAATTCCTTGAAGCTGAAATCAGCCTCTCCAAACAACACTAGCTGGTGTACTGATGCCCATGGGTTCCTAGGACACCTACCTAGTGAGGGAAGCCTGTACTACAAAGAAGCCCACCCTCCAAAAGATAATTCTGGGTCTTTTGAGGTTCTCCCATGTATATTTGCTGTAATGGCTTTTGCATTTCAATAATTCTCTCAATACAAGGGAATATATCAGATTCTTCATATTTAATATGTATTTTATAACTTTGGACATGCAGAGTCATTCACTGTTTCTTCTGAAAGAAGCATTATCTAAACAAGTAATAACAAGTAACATGGTTATGTAAATAATGATAATTTCATAATCTAGTGCTTTCTATATATTCCAGCATTTTCTCATAACATTTATACCAAGTATTAATCTTTTTTTTTTTTTTTTTGAGTTGGAATCTCACTCTGTCACCCACATTGGAGTGCAGTGGCCGCTCCTGGTCACTGCAGCTTCGACCTGCTGGGCTCCAGCGATCTTTCTGTCTCAGCCTTCCAAGCAGCTGGAACTACAGGCGCGCACTACCACACCCAGCTAATTTTTGATTTATTGTAGAGATGAGGGCTCGTCAAGTTGCCCAGGCGGGTCTTGAACCCACAGGCTCAGGCAATCCACTCACCTCGGGCTCCCAAATCGCTGGGATTACAGGCTGAGCCACCAAGCCCGGCCCAATTATTAATCTTTAGAATGAATATTGAATAGCATCAACACTGGAAATACAGTCTTGTTGCATTTTTAAAATTTTGTCCAGCTTCCTTCAAAAGATTTAGATGCGACATTTTAGATAGTGTTAATATTATTTTAACTAATTGTTATTTATATTGTGCATACTTAGATCTAATAAGCAAAAAGGTAATATTCACATATATTTTTGAACAAATGATAATTAATACATTATTCTTAAAATGAAGACTGCAGTGAAAAGCTCATGCCTAAATTCTGAGTCTTCACCATCTATCATTTTCCTCATTACAAAAATGAAAATAATCTTTTTTAGAGTCTCTGTAATTTTAACTTTATAATTAACAAGACTAAAAAGAACAACAAAGCATATAGAGTGTGACTAAAAAAAAAAAAAATTAGCTACTTTTCCTGTAGTTCTTTCTGTAATACTACCGTGGGCTAATGTGGTACCTAAGTGTATATTTTTGCTGACATTGTCAGAGATTAGTTGGCAGTAAATACATGACTTTATTTCTGGGTTCCCTATTCTGTTCCATTGACCTATATATCTGTTTTTATACCAGAGTCAGGCTGTTTGTTTACCCCAGCCTTGTGGTACATTTTGAAGTCAGGTAGTATGATACTAACTTTGTTCTTTTTACTTAAGATTCCATTAGTTATTCAGTCTCTTTTTTGGTTTATTATGAATTTTAGGTTTTTCTCTAATTATTTGAAAAATGACATGTTCAGTGTAGATGCTCAATAGCTTTCCTGTATTTATCAATAAATATTGTGTGTATATAAAATATTTAATATGAACATTTACAATTGATTTGCAAACTACTTTTATTTAAAATATATAAATAAACTCATAAAAATATCACTAATACATCATTCAATTATACTGAGAGAGTTGAATGATCCTTCTCTTTATAAATAATGTAAATGTGATATTTTATTTGTAAGGTTTATCCAGGAATGCTGCAAATATTTGCTGTTCATATTGAGAGATGAAATAATTTGCACACAATACTACTAGTAAATTTATGGAAAGTACTTGATGTCTTCCACTACTATGTAGATAATTTTAAAGTTAAAATATATATATTTTCTCAAGCAGTAAGATCTATTGTCTAATATAGTCTCTTCTTTGAAATTATGCTTATTGGCCAGGCTCGGTGGCTCAGCCTGCAACCCCAGTACTTTGGGAGGCTTAGGAGAGTGGATTGTCTGAGCCCGTGGGTTCAAGACCCACCTGGGCAACTTGGTGAGACCTCGTCTCTACAGTAAATAAAAAATGAGCTGGGCATGGTAGTGCACCTGTAGTTCCGGCTACTTGGAAGGCTGAGGTGGAAGGATCGCCAGAGCCCAGCAGGTCGGGAGCGTGCCATTGCACTCCAGGCTGGGTGACAGAGTGAGACTCCAACTCAAAAAAAAAGAAAGAAAAAAGAAATTATGTTTTTTTAATATATTTGAAACTAATTTAGGGGTAGGAGGTTTGTGTGGGAAACATCGGAAATACCAGAGTTAAAAATTAAAGAAAATTTATGCCTCACATGTTTTTATCAATTTGCAAGAATGATTTCTGTCTCAGAATTGCTAAACCTGTTTATTTCAGAGTTACTACTAACTGATTTTAAGCAGAAACATGGTACAAGAATATGCTGTTTTACTTTACTGAAATGATTATTTGAACAAGATGTTATATTTTATGCATTTTGAAGTATGTGGCATTAGCAATGGACTTTCATAGCTAAAACCTGATAGCCTAACATATTCATTTATTAGTCTTCTGAGCTATAGAATAGCCATTCATATCTAAACCTGGAAATTTTAAGGCTACCAAATTTATAACATGTATTTACTCTAACAGAGTCATTTTAATTAGTGTTAAAGTACCTTTATATATCACATAATTAGTGTCTTTTCTCTGTGTTCTTTAGATATCTACTAAATATATCCTATCGGATTATTAACAAATATACTACCAAATTATCTGTTGATGTGTTACAGCAAAGAGAAATGGATTCATATTTTAGTGAAAAGCTCTTGTAAACTGTTTAATCAACAAACTTGATTATAAAATGAATATTGATGTAGTACGAATGCATAATTTGTTGGGAAACATACACATATCTGTTTGATGGTTTGGTGATAATCTGGGTTAAAATGCTGGCTTTTAGGTAATGAGTGTGAATCGTAGTGTCAAAACCCATCCAGTTTTGTCTCTTCTCTGGAGAAATAAAAGCATTGAGGTTCGTAATTAAAAAAAAAAAATTCTTACAGGTTGTCAATATCTTTTTTTTTTTTTTTTTTTTTTT